GAGAGAAAATTCTGTCATTGATATCTGTATCATTATACACGAAAACAGCCAGTCGAAAACCAGTTGTTACAAGCTGACGCCACTTTTCCGCTGTCAGTTGATTGCAGTCGGGTTGACAGGACAAGAACTTTGCGATAATAGTGTGGTTTGCATTGTCAGCCTTTGAATATTTAACAATGAAATCCCACGCAGAATCTGCATTCCGGATGGCTCTACAAAACAAATCGTACAAAAATACATTTAATTGGTAATAAATGTAATACTCACCCATGCTTCTGGGCTAAGCCTGTTAATGCTGCTGACAAATATTTTGTGGCTTGTATAAATATTTTAAACAACAGTGTTGCTTCCAGCATCTGTATTATTCCAATTTTGTAGCCATAACATTCAGTTTGGTGTTCTTCCCAATCGGATTGTATGCATTTTAAAGAGCAGTACGTCTTGTAACGACATTCGGTACATGTGTACAAATGATCTCGATAAACTCCACACACTTCGCAATTCATAAACGGTGTACTAAATTAAAAAGAAAACAAATCTTGTTAGATAAGATCTTTCTTAGCAATTGCGCTATGGGTATATATTCCATCACAGCCTGTTCGATTCATCCCATATTATTTTCAACAAATTAAAAATCAGGCATATATTATTTCTTTCTTAAAATTTATTTATTCACTCAACGTAATCGATTATTTTTTTGTGTGCAATATTTTTTGAACATTTAGCCATAATCATAAAATTTGCTTATGATCTTCTGATATTTGTAACGCTTCTGCTAAACGCAACTTTGATGATTTTGACAATTTCTCTATTTACGTATCTTTGTAGATTATGCACTGATTTCTATTCAATCTGAAGGAGCAACTCTCCAAAATGCTAAAATGGAAATATTTTACTTCCATAATATGGATATCCTATTCTGCGCTTGAGGCTTGGTCCAATATAGTCTGTATGTCCTGGCCGACTGACGGATGACCACCGCATAACCCAAGCCGTAAGAACAGAGAAACGGAAGTTACCTTAAGTGATATCTTTGTTCAAGTTCATTTGAGACTTGTTTGGGGGGAAATGGGGGACAATGATTATATTCAAAGCACTTAATGAATACGTGTTTTAGCGATTTTGTATACTCCAACAGCGTGCCACTAGCAGGAAGCTGTACCCAAATCAGAATAATGTATAGAATACAAATCATAATTTTTAAAGAATATTCACATTAAAAAATCGCTTTCAATAAAAATATCAACTAAATTTTGGGTTTCCCCATGATGCTTTTATTCGAACTGCATTAGGCGAGATTCGACTTCCCTAATTTTCAAAGTCGGTAATTGCTTTAAAAAATACGAGTAAAAGTAAAAGGTATGGAATGCCCGGTTAGAGGACTGCCTAAACCTTCATTTACTGACGGAGTCCATGCAGCATTCGTATTTTTGCGTTTTTGGGGGAAGTATGTTTGTGAATCTCGCTCCATTTTTTATTCTACTCGGGCATTGCCGATTTCAGCGTATTTCTTAAATTAAATTTAGATTACAGGTGCTTACTTGTAAAATTTCGATCCGTTTAGCGGCCCAAAGCTGACACCTTCTTTATTAGTTTTGTACTGTATATTCCTTGGAGATTGTTTAATTTCTTTTTTATATTTTTCCAAATGCTTTAAAAACGTCTGCAATTCTAGATAAAGGTATTAAATTCCATTAATTATTGTATGATAATTATTATTGTATTTATTTAATATGCTTACTTTCAACTTTTGAGCATTTGTTTATAAACTTTAATTTGTTGTTCACCTCGTTTTTATAAACAGAATTTTAAATGGTAGTGAAAATTCATTTAAGATATATTCCTCAGCTTTCGGAATAAAATGGACTTCCAACATGCCAAATTAATTACCCCGAATAAAAAGTGTGAAACACGTCTTAAGTTAATTTTCAGACAGATCTTTGGAAGTTAATTTCAACCCGAAACTTCGCTAAAATTTTGACCCCCTTTTACACCGAGGGATGGATTTTTTAAATGTATTGGCACAAAGATCGCTGAAATTTATTTTTAAACCGTTCAATAGGTAATCAAAAAAAAAACTTTCTAAGCGTGCACTCACAGCACATATGGTACTTACATTGTATACTACATGCAAAACAAATTTCTGAAGTTCACCTTTTTTATAACTTCTAAATAATGAAATTAAATTTATTAGTTAGACTCAATCTGACTCAGTAAGCAAACAAAATCAATGAGAAGAGCATAACTTCTTTTGTAAAAAACAAAAAAAAATCGTTCACGTTAAAATCTGCAGAGAATAAGAATTTACAGTGTACTTAACGATCATTAAAAATTATTATTTATATATTTTTAATATTTACCGAAGTTTTCGCGAAGCAAATTTGCTGGCAATTTACCTGTAAAGAGAAATCAAAGTAAATAGTGGTAAAAAACAAATACATAAATTAGTCTGATCGAGAATGACCGGCCAGAAGATACACTCTACAATAAGGTTCATAACATACCTCTCTTAGTAACGAGTAGAGAGACAAGGTTTGATTAGCACTTTTGACATGGGCATGGTCAAAATTGCATTTACAGTCAAATTGGGTTCACACAAGCGTTACACCACCGAGATTGGAGCAAGTACTCGTGGCACTATAGGAGAGAGTTGTGAATCTTGTGTTTTAATTCTTCCCTTGGTCCAAACATTTTTTTTAATGTTTTTAGTTACTAACAAATATAATGTCTTCAACTCTTAAACGTTAAAAATACTTGAAACTGGGAAAGAGATAGGCATCTGCCGAAATATCTGGAAAATCGGCAACTTTTTCATACAAAAGCTCATTTTTCGACCAATTCTGGCTATAAAGATAAAGTAGTTCCTTCGGACTGACATTGACAATAAGAAACTTATACTGATTTTTACATTTTCATTAATTAATTATTAAAAGCGGAGTTTGGTCACGATATGTTGATAAACAAAAAAGTTGTTCGCACAAGACCTTAATTTTCGACTGACCTCACATAAGACAGCTGCATGATTTAGTGGTCCGAACTGGCCGGAAGGATCTATGCAATGTTTTAGGACAATAGCTTGAATAGAAACATAAGGATGGACAGACAGACCGACATGTCTATATCGACTAGGACATCTACATACTGAGCTTAATCAAAATTTGATATATCAAGCTTTTAGTTTTTTAAATCAGTTAATTTACAATTCGGAATTAATTTATATCTCGTCGTACTAATAGAGAAATATATATACTTAATCTGTTACATATGCACAACTTCATTCGTTTTATCTCATTTTAGCTTAAGCGGATATAAGAGTTTACATATATTTACCCAAAACTTCCTCCAATTGACATAAATGAAGCCTAGCATCGGGCATTTTTCTCATCAAATACAAAGACAAGCATAATAGAGTTTGTACGATTAATATTCCTTCTGTTGTCATAAGTTTGGGGTTGAACCGCTTATAATATTCCAAGTCGCTCCTTGCCAACTGAAAGTATACATGGTACGTACTTAAACATTCAGCCAAATACTTGGCAAGCTATTTCCATTTACGATACAGACGGGATACTTCTGGATTTGCACAAAGTAGACGCTGCGTGCCAAAAGTGCATCTAGAAATACCGTCGTATTGGTAGGAGTTCGAGAAATAATTTTATTGAGTAATTGTAGTCCCTGAAAAGATTACATACAATGCATTAACGTATAAAAAATTGAAATAACTATGTGCTTATTTGTGAGGATATCACTTACCTTAAGTGACGTCTTAATGTCGTTTGACTTAACAAATTTACTGGCCATGTTTAGCAAATTTTCCGAATCTTTGACAATGCCATCGAAAAATGCGTTTGATGCATTTTTAAGTATAAGCACAAATAGTTCAGATTCACTTCATGGATTGAAAGAAATAAAATGTTTGTAAGTATATTTGCATATCTTTATGCATATGTATGTATGTATATGTAGATTACTGCATATTTATCAATGTATGTATATGAATGCCTACTTATGCACATTCATATGTATTTACCTAGTCATAATGCCCACAGTTTAATAATACTTACATCAGATTTTGCGGACATGTAACACAACTCATGGTTTCAAAATCGTCGTCCCGCACGTCCGTCAAAATGGTTAAGTACATCTTATCCATTGCCACTAACAACCTGCAAATAAATACTTTAATTTAGCGCGTCGTGGGTAACGATAAGTGTGACCGAATCGAACCAATGAAATAAAAACTTAAACAGATTTTCCTTTTACAAAGGCTTTTATTATTCTCAGCAGCAGTATATGCCGCGCCGAATAGCCCGTTGAATCAAAAGTTATTCAAGTAACTCTTTATTTAAAAATATTAAATCATATATGAAATATCAAATATGCATTTTCAGTGAAGCTTATCTCCATTAAAAGGTTAGTTATGTAGGTTGCTATAATGTTTAAATAAATCTTTTTTTGTATTTATTTTAGGGCGCTTCTTTGTAAAAGATATTGAATTTTGAACGAATTTTATTAAAAGAAGTCAACTTATTTGATTTTTGAGGTTGTTTCAACATTTACTTTGTATAAGAAACCACAAACTTGGATTTCTATGGGTTTCTTTTCTATAAATTTTGTTTTACAACCAAAAACTATAAGATATTTCAACTATCGTCAAATTTAATTCGAGCATTATGGTATTATTATTTTTAACGTTCACAGCTTAAAACGAATAATTAAAATATTTGTTAAATAAGATATTCTTTTTTAAGAAATACAAATACAAATCTTTTACTGTGAAGACACATTGGCTCAAAGCATTTCATTTTATTTGTACATCGAATTTTAAAATGATTAAAAAATGAAAATTATGCCCGAAAGTAAATGAATAGTTTTCATAATGGTACTAATTTCACTTTTGTGTAAGGTAACATGCATATTCAAGAATACCCTTTATGTTTTCTGTGATTTGTATGGCAGCCCTATTTTTGTACTTACCAACACTACGACTATTATTAAAAAAAGTGTTCACTATATTAAGTTGCATTAAACAATAACAATATGAAAAGAAAAACAAGTGAAATCTGGTGCTTCTTTCGGGCAGTTGATGACACATTTGCCCTGTGTAACATATGCAAGGCCAAGTTGTCCTACAAAACGACAACAACCAATTTAAGTAAACACATGAACAGAATGCACCCAAACGCAAATGTTTCGGGATCGGCACAGAATCGCAAGTATAAAATGATGCCCCAGCTGAATGATCGCCATCGAGGCAAACCTCGAAACCCTGCGCAGGAGTTAATATTACTTAACTTCATAAAGAAACATCCCGTTCTACTGCAAAATCCTTCATGGGACACGCGCAATGCATTCGAATCGCTTTGGGACCAACTCACGTTGGAGCTAAATGGTAGTGGACCGCCACAAAAAGACGTGGCGACTTGGAAAAAGGTAAGGTGTTTATTTTATCGTAAGTTTTTCTTCTTCTTATTTACCTGCGATTCTTTTTGCATAGGCTTTGAAGGACTGGAAAAGATTTATAATCAAGAAAGTGGAAAAAAATGAAATGCACAATATTCCCCTAGCAACCGGTCTAAGCTCCGCAGAGGAAACTATAGCTAGTTTGTGTCGTTTGAACGATGATGTCAGCCAAATTATAATGAATGCATCCGAGGATGACCTACAAGACAATTCCAATGCTACATTTGACATGGAAGACGTCGAAGACGTTGTGCCTGAGGAGGAAGATCATAGCGCTCTGCAAGATGCTTCCGGATTCGCCTATGAGCCAGAAGATTCAAAAGCCGAAATTGATATTGACCCACTTTTCTTACAGAGTGGCAAAAGTTCGAAATTTGGGGCGAGAGCCATTAAAAAAGAACTTGAAATAATGACTAAACAAATCAGTTTGGTCAGTGATGTTGCGAGCAGTACGCAACTAGCGCTAAGTGAATTTTGCGCGCTTTATAAACAAAAATTAATTGAAAACAAGAGGCACCACTCAGTAATTGAGCAATTGATGGCGGAAAAAATAGAATTAAAAAAAAAGCTCTTGGAAATTGAGCAACGGAAATTGTCGCTGAAATGACGAGATTTTATCTATCAGTTACCAATATAATTTTTTGCATATAATTAGAAAATAATTAAGGTGAATTTCATGATACGCCTTTAAGTAAGTAGTTTGTAATTCAACATGTTGTGTCTAAATACAAAATGTTTTAAACCAGTCAATTTAGTGAAGATAAATTTATTTGCATTCATGTCAAATCAAAAGTTGCATTTTATCTTAAATTCAATATTGAAAAGTACGTTAGAAATGCGTACTTCTACCCGTTATTTAAATAAGTAATGCGATGTTCGTAACGACAAACGTACAAAATAATAATCTATGCACTTCATGGCATAAACTATCCGAAACTTCGTGTCTGATGTATGTATTTAATTCGATCGGATTGAATTCTTTGAATACATGATTTATTTTAATTTTTGTTTTAACTGCCAAATATGAAACTTGTGATAAGTACCACAAGCAATTAATACTTATTTGTTATTCTCCTCTTTTGTTCTATCTTTTGAGAACGTACTATCTCGTACACATCTCTATTAAGACAGTAAGATGTTTTTCTGTTATTCAAATTAATTTTCACACATTTCGAAAAATCGATGCACCCTAGTGGAAATGGAGGTGGAAGTTTTGGTGGAAGAAGTTGCGGGTTCAAATACATTTCCAAGGATTTGTATAAAAATTGATGTGAGACGTAAAATTAATTATCTCAGATCTTTGAGAACATTTGTTTGTCACGTGTTTCACACTTTTCTCAAAGTCCGTCCCTTTTTGATGATAAATGCGGCTCGAAGGTTGTAAGCGCAAAGTTTAAAGTTTCGTCCGATCGGGCTCAAACTCATTTACAAAGATCTTTGTGAACATTTACTTGACATGTTTTAGTGAACGAAAGTTTTTACAAGCTTATGCAACTTTTAGTTTTTTATTCGATGGACTTTAAACATATTTTCAACTATCCATGTAAAATATAACTTTAGACGTGGAGCCCAATTTAGTAATATACGTATAGACTTAAATTCTCAACGAGCGGGAAATGGGGGAAAAGGTTACAAATAATATTTTAAAATTTTAACAGCGCGCCAAAGAAATTGAAATATTAATTTGAATAATGCAGAGTAGCGCTAAAAGAAAAACACGGATTTTCCTTATTTTTGACCACAGCGCTTTAACAGTAAAAAGTTTCTAACCAACTAAAATACGCGGTTTTAACCATTTTCCATGGATACAGGGTATATAAGGTAAAAATATATTGTTATCGCAAATTATTTCGCAAAATTTATCGATATGCACATGAAGGCGATAGTTGTAACATTGTAAATAAATGTGGATGTGGCCTGTGGATGGTGTGGATTGCATTCAACTTCTTCTTCTCAACTTAACCATTCATGGTGACTGACAAGTCATGATAATTTTTTATAAAACAAATAGTTTTTCGCAATGGACGATTCGTTTTTCGGGTTTGATACAACTACAGGTGTACCGGTAAGAAATTTAATGGATAACAAGTATAGTAATGTACCCAATGTAAAGGAAGCCATAGACTCGTTTTCGGCGAAAATCACAATCGTCTGGAAACAGAAAAATGCATCTAAATTGCTACCATGCTTATTTTTGTATTATTCAAATGTAAAAATGTTAAATCAATTAAAATGCGAAATATAATTTATAGGATGAAGATGGCAGTGACGGGCGAATTGCAGAGCCCCCGGAAGAAGAATACGACGCTCTTAACGATGAAACATTTGGCTCGGCTATAAATGGCGACTGGGAAGAAGCCCACGAAACGCTTGTCCTACTCGGAGGCAATGGCGAAAAAGCTCGCAAAGGGACTGACTTCACGGATCACAGCCAGAGCGGCAATGGCGCTTTCCAGAGTCAGCATCAGCACATGCACCTGCGTGGGTTCCAAAGCGGAAGCATTGACGACTCGGACTTGGAACTAAATCTGTCGTCAATGAAATTGGATGACGTTGATGTAAGTTCGTTCGGAGAAAGCGATGGAAACAACCGCATCAACTTGGACTCGGGCGTTTGGACAACTCATCCCCCCTTTCCAATACCGAACAATCAACAGCTTTTTCGAGATAACTTTCGCAGCGCATTTAAATCCCAACCACAGACAACCGCAAACACAGGCACACAAATGAAGGCATTACATGAATCAAATGCCAATTTTGGATTACCCCCCATGCCACCATCCGCTTCGGCTAAAATCTCGACGCTTGAGGACATTGAACGGAATCTAATCATTCAACAGGCAATACCCAAACAACAGATACAACATCAGCAGGTGCAACCTTTGCACCAACAGGACTTCAGTCTGGGCAATCGCCAGCATGTGGTGGTAACGCCAACAATATCCCAACATCAGCAACAGCTACAAAAGCCACTGCAGCACAAGGGTAAGACTAAGTGCTTTCGTATATATTGTTTAACCTATATTGCGAAAACAATTATTTATTAATATTATGGACTTGACAGCTAATAGGCCAAATTTCGCTATAGAGTTGGCTCGGCCAAAACCGTTCTGTCATGATCTCACCCGGTCAAGTTATTTCCGTTGTGCTCTTGTTGTAAACTTAAATCTTTCAATCTACCCTTAACGTTTTTTCATTGAGTGTAATATAATTTTCTCGTGAAATATGTAAAGCATAGATGGAGTCATTTGACACACCATAAAATATACATTCATCAACAGCTGAGTTGACATAGGCGTGTCCGTCTGTCTGTTTGAATGTAAACTAGTATCTCAGCTTTAAGCGGTCGTCTTATACCATTGCATTGACTTTCAACAGAAGGAACAGAACTTTTGCAGATAGTACATATGTCGGAGCCGTTTGGATCACACCATTCTATCATAAAGCTGCCATAGAAGCAGTCGATTGTGTGTAACAAAATATTTATTTTTTTTTTTTAAGAAATCTGGATTGAGTTTCATTTATTTGTTTATCTTGGTAAAATATCAAGATCGTTTTTGTATGGCAAAATATTCTGTTATTCACGATATTTTCATCAAACTCAGCATTTCCGAGCTTCACTATTCAGACGTATCTGCAAAACCGTGAGGCAAATGTCTAAATATCGCTCATAAATATATCCTCAAAATCAGTGTTTACTGTACGCATATTGCTACTTTCTCCTAGAATATAATGAATAATTTCAAATGCTTATGCATACATAAGTTATGTAAATAGAGCTCATTACCATGATACATTTAAACAATAAGATAAAAAGATTTAAAACAAATGTAATTTTAGCACCTCCTGGATTTTTGTCTACGCCGCAAACACCGCCACCAAGGCAAAATGTTGGATTTCATGGTCCACACCCGCTGGGTGGTGCCGGTCCAATGCCGACAGCCGGCGCAGGTCTAATGCCGACGCCCCAATCACAACAGCATCAACAGTTAAACGGAATCAGTGGGAATCGTGTTCCGCCTGGATTCATATATCCAACTGGCCTGGCTACGAACCTGCCGCAACACCCATTGCTGCAACAGCATGTCTTGCCGCCCAGTTTTCCCCGTCCACTGCCAAACCCACTTTTGCCCACGGCGCTCAACAATTTTGCCATGCATCCGAGCTTTAATGCGATGCGCGCCGTTGGCATGCACCCGGCGGCCTTTATGCAGCCTATTCCGCCGCCACGTCTGCCGCCACACAATCTGCTCAATCAGCAACCCAACTCTATGTATAACATGTTTAATATGCGCCTTGTGCAGGAAATTCAGCAGAACCATCCGCTCCTTCAGAACGCAGCTGTTGCGCGTCAACAGCAGCAAAGTCGTGCTGGCGATCGCCAAAAGCAGCAGCAGCAGCAGCAGCTGCCCCAACAGCTGCAGCAACAACAACAACTAAATCGTTATGGCGGTAATCTTCCTCAGGAGGAGTTTGATGAGTACGCCAATCTGATGAGTACGCGCGATAAGCATTGGCTCATCGGAATTCAGCTGTCACAGTTAAACACGGACACACCATATATTGACGACTACTACTACACGGTGCACAGGGAGCGCAGAAACGGCCAAGTGCGTCACAGTCAGGCACATAAGGACAACCAGTTGAACCATCCACTAACGCAGCCGCGGGGCCATGCGCAGCTAATATTGGTTCAGTTAGGTAACAAAAATGGCTCGCGCAATGGCCAGCAACATCGCGAGAGGCGAAATTCGGACAACGCGAACAGCAGCAACGCTAGCGGCGTCACAAATAGTGTTAACAACAGCAATGCTCTGCCGGGTTATATCTTCTCGCCCTTGAAGTTTGAGAATTCGCTGGGAAAGCTACAGTATGGAAGTGTTACAGCGCCCCGCAAAATTATTGATGCTGATATCATGGGTAGCGATATAAGTCCAGTGGATAATGCCTTGTCGTTATCATCAACAACTGGGCAAAATGCCGATAAAACCAATGAATATCAAAACGAAGTGGTCCTGGTGCCGAGCAGCATGCGTAAATCTCGCCATATTCTGCTACACATAGAGACCCTGTATCGATACCTGCTTAAACTAGAGGACCTGGAAAGTCCCGAGGTTATGGCGACTATTATTTTGAAGAAAAAGAAAGAAAGCGAACGCATTGCCGCTGTAGAACAACTTGAAATGGCTAATAAAACGGCCGAGGAGCGTGAGGCTGAGGCAGCTAATCCGCAAACGATGAACCCAGCGCTCAAAAATAAATTCAACTATGAAATTGAGTCCCGCAATGTTTTGGTGAACAAACTGAAATCCGGCCTCACCTTTAATAAAGTTGTATCCATGATGAACGTGCGCAAGGGCAAGGTATATGATACAAATTTATGGTTTCGTATACGTATTGATGAGGTTTTCTTATTTTTGATTTCTTCAGATACTTTTACGCCGAATCATGCCATTTATTGCTGATCAGACAATACGCTGGACCGTTTGGAGTGGAGTTTTCTGTTCACTACAAAATGTCGTTAAGAAAGATCGTGAAGACGTGGAGGGTGCGCTTTATGCGCTTTATCCGGAGTTCAGAAAGCACATACACGAAGCAAATTTGGAAACCATTATCAACATTTCGGTTGCGTTTACATTGAATGACAAAAAGATGTCTGGTATTTTCTGTAGTCGCGTAAGTTAAAATGATTTGCCATTGACCCAAACTTGAGTTTAATGCTTCGCATTAACCGCACTTTTAGTTTGGCATTCTTTCGCTCGTCGGATTAATAATACGGGTCGAGGCGATTTACATTTCGGGCATTGATGAAA